TGCAAATGAATTTCATCGGCTTCATAATATTCATGTGATTTTGTGGTGGGATTTGCTACTATGTGATCACAGGAAAACTATGTGAAATTTACATGGATCTCATCCATTAGATATGAGATAAATTTTTTGAGTGTATGTTAAACGCCTACACTCTAAAAAATCTTCACGTCCGATTTACGTGAAATACCACGTAGCCGACCTGTAATTAGAGAATCTCAAATGTAACGTGACTTTAGTAACTATAGCCTGCATTACAAGTCATGGTCACTTGGTGAAATCAACCGTATATTCACGTAAACAGAACTAAGTATTTGTGTTAGTGTGTTTGGGACATCGATATTTCAGCGAAACGAGATTTACGTGATTTTCAGGTAGGCAATTTTTTTTTATCAATATGGCGTTACCGAGTGTAGTTGAAGACCTCCTCAAAGATTTAAAATTTCCCATATTGGGCAAATATTGTCAAATCAGTTGTAATGAAGCTTGCATTGTTTAGTTATATTAGCGAACAATATGGCAATTCAAAAAGTAGAGCGGTAACTTGACGTCTGGGCGATTTAATTTCAGGTTGGGACTGATATGCAAATACTTTTTCTGATGGGACAAACCAACTGATGTTGTTTTCACCTTTTTCATGATCAAAGTCCGTAGTTTTACCACATAATATGAAAGTAGATGTTAATTGATAGTAGATAGCGTTGTAATCTTAAAATTGACGAAAATCCATATGGGACTGATATGCGATTATAGGCAGTACCGGCCCCTTCACTGAGCTACCATTTTTGGAGAATATCTGAGAGACGTCATTAAAATTTATGGTTTAAGATTTTCAGAATCTTTGAATACTCTTTAATCAACCAAAGAATTTCTGAAAGATGTCATTTTTATTTATGAACAATTGGAGATCTTCCGAATACTACTTGAACAACCTCTTGAAAAAAATATCCAGAGGACTTGACTGAAATCTTCGTCTACCTATACATTTTTTGAATACTTCCTGAACAACCTGTCGTCTTGGGAAAATATCCGAGAGAATATCCTATAACTTCTACAACGTTCCCTGAACATCTAAAAAATTATCTTAAATTCAAGAATAAAAATGATCCAACTTCTACGAAGTTTCCTGAACTTCTTCGATGTTTCATATTTTTGTTCAAAGCTCACCTAATTCAAACAAGATCTTCACAAGTTCACAGATGTTACTTCACCGAAATTCCAGAAAAAAAACCTCATCCTTTTCTATGAATATTCCTGAACATCTGGGATTTACAGAGGTTCAAAAAACTTCCAGGACCTTCATTGAACTTTTTTGTAGTAAGATCCTTGACAAACTGCTACGAAGTTCTCTAAACTGGAACGAAGAAGTAAGAAGCTTGTTTAACTTTTGCGTTGAACTTTACTGCTCTTCCCTGATTTTTTTCCCTGCACTTCTATGAAGTTTTACGCAATCCTAGAAATTCGATCAAATAGTTACGAACTTCGCAAAACGCCTATAAAGTTGTTGAGCTGTTAAAAGACCATCAAACATCAACAAACAATGTCCACGAAGCTTCCCAAACATGTACGAAGTTTCCACGTCTATGAAATTCCCAAAATTTCACGAAGTTTCCTGAAATCAAAAGTCTTACGAAATTGTTTAAGGTTAGAACAATCCTTGAACTTCAAAGAATTTCAATTTATTTGAAAATTTCTACAGATTTCGCTAAACTTCTACAAAACTCTCTGCACCTGAAGTTCACTGAAATGTTTCGAAGTTCGGTGAGCCTCTACAAAGTTATCTGAACTACTACAACATTTGCTACACTTCTAGAAAGTTTCTTATACTTCTAAGTAATTTCTTGAAGATTGAAGTAAGATCAAATAATAATGTTCCGTTAACTTCTCTAAACTCTTGTACAGCTTCAATTTTATAAATCTGAACACAGATCCCCACCCGGGTCAAACATTTGAAAAGTACCGTTGAAGACATTTTGTCCATCTGGATATGAAGATTTGTTTTACCTGGCATCCCTGTTCTAGACACTCGCTCGAGCAAACAAAATGAGGAAAATCAAATGGCCCAGTTAGCATGCCATGGAAAAGGGCAGTAGCATGCCGCATCATCACCCTCCATGCCGCGGCATCGAAAACCGGAGAAGCATCCTACCGCACCGACACGCTTCCGTGTCATGCTTAATTATTTTTGTCCTTTGTCGTAACGCTCAAATTTGGTTTATTTTCATTTTAGCAAATACCAATTTGTGTGCTTCTTTCCCTTTTTCTTATTCTGAGTTATTTCAACGTTTACTCCAGCTTGTGCTATGCGGCAAATCTGTTCACAAATTCGTGCGTGTCTAACAAAACTAAAAAGTACAGGAGTCCCCAGAAGAGCACTGTGGGTGGTTGGTGCAGTCTAACCCCCGTTGTTTCTCGGCTCTTATCTAATCAATTTGACTGTTGGTTGACACTAATCACATACAAAATATTAACTCTTCACCGCACACTTCGGGAGATTCCTGTATTCTCAACTGAATGCATAACACTATCAAGCATTTTTTTTCGCACAGGAGAAGATAGATTGAGACGTGATTCCATGTAGAGTTTTGACAAATGTTCAATTACGCAATTACTGTTCCGCGGAGGCTGACTGACGGAGAATAAATAATGCTTCCTTCGTCACTTTTTTTGTTCTCTGGAAAAATGGCTGAATCTCTTTTTCCCACGATGTCTCATCGGACAACAGAAAAATAGCCACCGTAAGCGTGCAGATCTGTCACATTGATTATGATTTTCTGAATCTCCGACCTGACACAAGAGGGGAATCGCTGATTCGAGTGTATGTGTGTTTGTGTGTGGGTGGGTCGGAGATTGAATGCGAGAGATTATAGTCTTGAGTATTGTCATTTGTTACCAGTCCTTCGGTTCGATTTCTGGGAAATTTGAAATTGACTTTACGAGCGGTTATCGCCACGATTGAAACAAATTGGTGCTTTTTCGAATGGCTTTTTATGGCGAATATTGGACTGTCGTCGATTTTTTTTTGGTTGGATTTTAGGATTATGCCATCTAGAAAATTAAATTGAATGAGGGCTTTGTATGCAAAGTGATCACAGTATGCTGTGATTGCCGATTAGGTCGCAGTTTGCTACGATGCGATAAATTGCCTTCAAATTGAATATTAAATTGCTACTTGAAAACACTCGGTTAAGGTTTTCCGATAATTTCTCAATCCACTGCTTGTTAGCTTTTGCAAGCCAAAGTATGGTGGCAACGGCTTTCATCAAGTTTATTCGAAATCGACGACAGATGATCAATTTAAACATGTACCAAGCTGAAACGTGGAGGAAAAGGGCTGAGCCTGTCAAATTAGCACCAGAGCACCAGAGAAATGCGGCTTCACTCGAGTTGTTCGCAGATGACAGTCCTGTGGATTTTACAAGGCAAATCGGCCATTTGTGGATTCTATCAATCTTTTCCTTAAAACCGTCTCAAAAGGTTGCTTTGCAAACGAACCACCATCCGTCTCCACTACAACTGCATCATGTGATGGAGGCCATTGCACCTCATAATAACGAGACATTAACACACACCACAGCCCGCTTCAATAAGCTCGTTCATCTTGTTGCTGTCTTATGACGATTCGATTACCATACGTAAAATATGCGTGCATCTGCCTGCCTGTCAACCGTCATCATTATCAACGGCTTCATCTCGCCTCGTTGACTCGGCGGAACAGGGCACGAAGAGCTCATTATGGCATTATCAATCATTTCGGCTACCAACAACAACTCGCAAGAATTGATGAGCCTTATCACATCGTGCAGTGAAGTGAAGTGTGCGTACGCGACGGGTGCCCTGTATTTGTATATTTAAATTGAATTCAGGCAAGTCATGGCCAACTTTCGATGCGAAGGATTTCAAATTCTCCTTTACTTTATGGTGTGCTTTCCTCGCGCTCTTTGTCTTGGTTGTATGGTATGCAAGGTTGCAAATACCATCACAGCTAAAACAATGTTTTTCGCATTTATGAAATAATTAGATGCTATGAAAGGGTGATCAAACTTTTCGATTTTTTTTCCCAATACAATATAGTAACAGGTTGTTTAAGTTAAGAAAAACAACATCAAACGCACTGATGAATCGATCATTGTAGTCAGGCCCTTATGATTCTGAACGCTAGATAGTTTTAGTTTGTATGATACAAGAAAAGGTTGCAAAGTATGAGTCTGATATATAAACTGAGTCACAACACGCGATCAGTTGATCGCTGAGTGAGTGAGTGAGTAATCGCTGATTGTGACTATCAGGAAGCGAAATTGCCAGGTTTTATGTGTCAAACACATGCTTTGCAACCTCTTCTTGTATCTCACAAATAAAAAAATATGTTCATAGCATCTAATTATTTCATAATTCAGAAAAACATGTTTCAGCTGTAAGGAGTATTTGCAACCTTGGCTGGTAAATAGTTTAATAAATGTCAACCTGTTGCTCCAGCTCAGAAGCACTAAATCGAAGTGACCGGCTCTTAGCAGTTATTTCCCGAGCTCCACTGCTTCTCACACATCCTGACCCACCTCGAAAAGTAAGTTCTAGCGCTTTTCGACTCTTTTGGACCAGCAACAAACAGTAGTTGAATGCAAGGTTGCAAAGACTCATTTCAGCTAAAATAATGTTTTTCGGAATAATAAAACCAAAAGATGGTATGATGGCATGTTTTACTTGTAACTTACAAGAAGAGGTTACAAAGTATGCGTTGGAAACATAAAACCTGTAAATTTTGCTTTCTATGAGTCACAATCAGCGATTTGCTGATCGCTGAGTGAGTGAGTGAGTGAGTGAGTGAGTTTGTGAAAAATCGCTGATTGTGACTCTCATGAAGTGAAATAAACAGGTTTAATATGTCAAACACATTCTTTGCAACCTCTTCTTGTATCCTACCAATTCAAAATTTGATCATGGCATCTAATTATTTCATAATTTAGAAAAACATTGTTTTAGCTGAAATGAGTCTTTGCAACCTTGGTTGAATGTGACACTCACTTACCTTCGGTCTCCAGTCTACCCCAACCATCCGTCGCCGCCGACTAACGGGTAGAAGTCAACTTCACCATTCCCGGCCTACTTTGATGGGATGGTTTCTATTCCCGTTTCTTCCATGGCTTTCTATGCATGTCCTACTAACTGTACATATGTGCGTTCGCTCGGTTACATCTATACTCGTGCACACATGTAATGTATGTTTGTTCAATAAAAACGCTTTTCATGCTTCGGCTATATCGTCCGTCCTTTCCGTACAATTCCAGTGTTCAAGATTCCGCGCGCTCTGTCGCTATCTCTATCATCAGTCACCCACGCCGGGAACACTAGCTGCGCCGCGTTGTCGTCATCCTTGGTCGGTCAGCCGGTAAGTCAGGTGTGGGAGGGAGAGAAGATATCCAGTGACCGCTTTATAGATATGAAGATGTATGACATGGTGCTCGTCCGTCCGGTTTTTGCTGTGTCCCTCCAAGGTACGTTGCATATGCTCCGATGATGGTACGGTTCGGTTGTTGGCCGTTCAGGCGAAAAAAGTTTGTAGTTGCTGCTGCTGTTGCTGCTGCTTTTGGTTTCCGTCAATTTACTTCTTTTTTTAATCTTTTTTTTCCCTTTCGTTCTCTGTCTATTTATCCTGCTCCACTGCTATTTTGTTCCTGCTATATAAATGTTTAAATGCATACAAAAAAGTTTCGAGTGTCCTGCACAGTTCTGCTTATTTTGAGAGTAGTATACAAAAAGTGTTTGTGTGTGTGTGAGATAGAGAGAGTAGAGTGTCTTCTTGTAGCAATTGTTCATAGAGTAGGCGGGAAGGTTCTAGATTTTTTTTCAAGGAGCTGGCTGCTCTTCGCCCGTTGTATTTCACTCCTTGTTGGTCTTGTGTTCCGCGTTATTGTTGGACATTGTCTCACCATTTATGCTCGCTCCAGTTTTCACGATAATAATAATAATAATGATAATAACAGCGTGTCGTTCGTCACTACACACATGGCCTACTTGTCTCGTTTTCGGCTCAAACGGTTTCATGCTCACTCTCAACAACGGTTGGAATTTTTCGGGTTCTATGCTACATTTACTACGCTGCTGTTGTTGCACACTTTTTGCTAAGCTGTCGTTCAAGATGTCTTCTTGCCCCCACTGGTCGTCGGCCCCGCCCCCGTCGTCGACAAATTCGCATTGTTGACGTCCTCGTTATTGTTGGCACTTGATTCATACCCTGCGACCAGATTTTCGATTATGAATTTGATAGTCAGCTTGTAAATTCCTTCGACGTTTTGCGTGTATCGATCGCCCAGTGTGTTCGATACCGACGATAGGAAGGGTTCCTCTATTCTCTGCAATTGGTGAAAGAAAAAAACGAAGAAAAAAAAACACGAAACCGTTAGTATGCTAATGTTAACAATTTCATTTCGGTTATGTATTGAAATGCTTGAGCAGACATACGGAACGGCGTTACGTAGCATCTCTATCATCCGGCAGAGACATTTCCTGCGAAATATGTACTTCGATTTATTTGGTGGCCTTTTCTGGCCCTTTTATGCTGAAAAATAGTATCATCGTAAGAATCGATACGACAGTTTCTCGTTATGCATGAGAAAGCGGTCAGATGAAGATAGATGTCAAGTTCATGTATGCAGGAGGTGGCGAATGAAAATTTATTTCAGTAGTTTACAGCCCCAGGAACGTTTGGTTAGGTTAGGATTCTTTATTAAAGAGACTTAGAGCCATTGGCTGGTTCGTCCTTGGGAACCCAAGGAAGGTTCGCTCCAGGAAAGCTGAATTTGACAGTTTGTTCTACATCGCTAAGTGACGGGTGTTGCTAAGTTTTTATGGAGTACGATCCGTAGATAGGTAAAGTTGTTCCCACTGCAATAATTATTGCTAAATTTAATGCCCATTTCCCAAAAACTGTAATTCAGGTGATTGAAGTAGGCCGCGCTGCGAAAATGACATGTTTTTGTTTTGCTGCGTCGTTTTCGTTCTAGTGAAAATGTTATAAATTTTCAATTTCATTTTTAAAAAGTGTTAATTTGAAAGTACAGAAGTGATGTTGAAAAGTGCATTAAGTGAAAATGTACAAATTCTTATCCGTTCCATGTGGTGCCGACTGTTCTAGACTACGCGTAGTTACGCTCAGCTAAGTTTATTTACCTTTTCGTTCCTCTGTCCTCGATAGGAAATATCCATCTAATTCAAGACGATCATTTCAAAACTTTCTAAATACGCGCCAATCAAGTATTGCACTACTGCTTGGTTGAAAGTTTCAGTACATTATCAATGGTGTATATTTGCAGCGATAATGTATTAGAGCAGGGCTTATCATGTGTGAAAATAGCTTTGGAATGCTTCCGTTCTTGAAATGGGCTATTGTAGCTGCGGTAGAGCTGTCACCTTCTAACTCCCGAGTTCAAGCTTCTTGCATTCATGAGAAGTGATTGCAGGCAGATTTTATCCATAATGCCACTGCCAGTGGAAGTTAGGTCAAGGACGAATCTTCATTCTAATATACGATTCCACATACTATTAATAACTTTTTACACATGAGAACCTCCTATCGATCAGAATGAATTGTGCATATGTTTGGGATCAACAAACATTTTCAGGCGAAAAGGAGCAACAGGATCGAGCTGATAACGTTTCTTAATTGCAAAATCTGAAGACTGTTTTGAATAATATGTTTAGGTAATGGGCAGCAACAACGGACAGATAAACTACTTACAGCTTCTTTTTATTAAATGCTTGATATAACGATTGCCAGCAACGCCGGCTGGGCGTATCCTATGGCTTACCCTCTCTACTAACAAAAATCCACCCTTCCCGTGACACTTATGAGGGGTCGCAAAGTTCTTTGCATCTCTCTTAAGTAAGTGTCGGACTAAAATTCCTCCCATTTCCCCACCAGATGCAAGGACGTGGCCAGAACAGCTCTGGTCTGTTGGAGGGAGACACATCCTTTATCTAAGAGGTAGTAATTAATCACAAATTACTATCTAACAGCAACGGATGAAGGAGGATCTCCTTCTTAACAACAGTTTGGAACTCGTACCACCTACGAGATTGTGTAACCTGGTTTATGCTATGCTATTTCCCAAAAACTGTCATTCAAACAGTTATTTTGTTTTTAAGTTAGCCAAAAATTTGAGAATTCTTCTTCGACACTTTTAAAAAGACTCATAAAAATCTAAAAAATCCATAGAAATCTAAATCTAAACGGTAGTTCTACGGATAAACCCGTAAAACTGATCCACTCGTGGAGCTCCCGAAACAGGGTGATAGAGGACCACAAACCATGCAAAACATTGTTGTACGGTATACAGTCACCGCAGTATTATGGATCACCCACAATTATGGGCCCGTTAAATTTGATTAACACGAAGAACTGACTGACCCATAATAGTGACTAGTTAGCCCACAATACTGGGAAAACTGTACCTCAATCCTTGTTTATATAGGAGATATTAAAGTTTTAATATTTGTGGCAACCCTATCTTTTAACCACCCCAAAAAAACTTGAAATGATAGGGAATATCAACCATCATGACGACCATTTTTGGACTCTTCAAGCAATAATTATATATTTTTTGTAAGTTTACCGCAAACTGTCATAATTCTGCGCAGCGCCTAATTCCCCACATTTCGCCAAAATTTTGAAGTATATTATATTTTTATCTAAATTTATATTTTTCCTATTCACAAGTGGTTAATACCTACCTAGATGTACAAATAAATTCAAATTATAAACCATTTATAATTATCTTAGAAAGTTTAAAAACTGCGCGAAATTAGACTTTAGGTGTGCATAGTTATGGCATATTATGGTTGAGCTCTCCATATAATACACAAAACTGACAGACGACTTGAGCTATGGTGATCACTAGGTCACTGTAGCTTTTCAGCTCGTATTGCGATTACATAATCAGGAATAAGTAGATACGAGAAATCATATATCAGAAAATGTTTTGTAGTGATTTGATAAACCCTTGTGCCCAGAGATTTAGAATACATACTGAAAAAGAAAGATATATTTTAGTTAATTTTTTTACATATTCCAATTTCTGATACAAAGGGGAAATGGATGTAATGTCGGCCTAACTGCTTTTAATTTGGGCCCATACATAAATTCAGCAATCGACTACATTTTCAATATCGACCAAAAATATCCGTTAGTATCGTCCCAATGATAAAATAAAATTGATAAATAGCAGATTTTTAGCAATGGGCCCCATCTTAGATCCATAGGCCATCATTAGAGCCATTTCCCTTATATTTGTTGGGCCTTTCGACGTGTCTTACCTGTTGGCGCGCTCCTTGGCACCAAGGCGGTGAATTCTCCTCGTCAAGGCGGAAAACAAGCAGTTGGTCGACCAGTCCAGCGAATGCGGTTTCGAAAGCGGCAGAATAAAAGGAGGACAAATTTTAACTTTTCATCTTTTATTCTCCGATATTAACCGTGTGCAATACAAAAATTAACTGAGCTCATTCACGAATGGGCTGCTTTATTTACACTCATTCACCGATCCGACAACGTATAATAGGCGGAGCGTTGCGCGCTATTCTACGTTTTCTTCTTGTAGGTTGCCTTTGTTGGTGTGCGTCGCTTCTACTGCTGCCGCTGCTTCTGTTGGTGTGCGTCGTTCGGTTTCATTTGGCAGTCTTTCCGGAGCGAACGGTTCGGTCGCGAACATATTCCGCCCAGGCTGCGAAGAATTCACTGAATCGATGTTTTGGTCCTCATTGTCAGCAATCGGAAGGACGGATAATTTGGATACCGCTCGTCTATATATGCAACCTTCGACGTTGATGTCTACCGCTCGCACCAAATTGTCGGAACCTGGGTAAATCTGGACGACCTTTCCCATCTTCCAACATTGCGGTGGGATATCCTTCTGCTCAAGCACCACGATCATACCAGGGCGAATGTTTGGTTGTCTTTGGCGGTTTTTTCCCCTCAGTTGCAGGTTCAACAAGTAGTCCCGGCTCCATTGTCTCCAGAACTGCTCACGGAGGTACTGTAGATACTGCCATCTTGATAGGCGATTGGTTGGTATCTCATTGTAGCTAGGCTCCGGCGTGGCTATCAGAGGACGGCCAATCAAAAAATGGCCCGGTGTCAAAATTTCGTCGTCTGGATCTGATGTTGAACAGAGAGGCCGGGAATTCATTATAGCCTCCACTTGGCTAAGGACTGTAGCATACTCTTCAAAAGTCAATTTGGCGTTTTTTAGAGTTCTCTTCAGGTGATACTTAGCGGTCTTCACTGCGCTCTCCCAGAGGCCGCCAAAGTTAGGAGCTTCCGGTGGGATAAATTTCCAGGAGATCTCTTTTGGCTGACAGAAGGATGCTATCTCATCAACGGCATTGCGGCTGCGAAATAGGAGATATAGATCATGTAATTCGGATTTGGCTCCCTTGAAGTTGGAGCCATTATCTGAAAAGACCTCTCGGCAAATGCCCCGTCGGCTGACGAAGCGCTGAAGTGCAGCTAGGAACGCGGCGGTAGAGATGTCGGAAACTAATTCCAAATGGACAGCTTTCGTTGACATGCAGATAAACACCGCGATGTAGGCCTTGACAATTTTCGGTTTGTGACGACCTTCCTTCACAAATACTGGTCCGGCATAGTCAATGCCAGTTTTCAAAAACGGTTCAGCGGGTGTTACTCGGCAGGGCGGCAGATTTCCCATCAGTTGAATAGAACCTTTAGGCTTCGACCGGAAACATGTGATGCAGCTTCTGGTAATCTTCCTGACGGACGACCTTCCATCCAGCAACCAAAAACGTGATCGGAGAGCGGCCAATAGGGCAGTTGGACCAACATGCAGGTTCTCTTCGTGGTATGTACGGATGATTTGATCGGTGATCGGATGTTTAGGAAGTAATAGTGGATGCTTGGTTTCAAAAGGTAGCAGGGAATGTTGAAGCCTTCCTCCAACGCGCAGCACTCCATCGTTGTAAATCGGATTCAGAGCAGCAATTTTCTTACACGGTTCGTTGGATGTCACACGATGAATCTCGTCACCCAGAGCTTCAAGCTGAATGACCCTTACAATCAGCTGTAAAGCCGAGCGTAGTTCTTGGATTGTAGGATGACGTTGGAGGACTCGTTCGTTGCGAGATTTCAGTTGACAGTTACGGATAAATCGCTGGACCAACGCGACTACCCGTTGAAGCTTTCTGAACGAGCTGAACCTAGAAAATACTTCCATCTTCTCCTCGTTAACGACTGGAATGGCAGTTACATTTACCTTTTTCAACTCCGGAAGATCTTCATCTGCGATGTCATCGGGAAGTTCCGACTGGTACTGCGCGGTGCTTAGAAATGTCGGCCCATTCC